AGTCCCACTGTTATTTCCCTTTCTCTCCCCTCAGCAGGGAGACTGACCTTCTCACCTCCTCACTGGAATGGTTAGCTGTGGGGAGAGGCAGGGCAGTGCTGACAGGACTAGATCTGTGATTGGTGCAGCGTCGCTGCTGTTGCACATGAGAGCTATGAAGAGCCCAGTGAGTGGTGCAGGCTGGTTTTAGGAGGTGGCAATGGATCACTGTGGCACCTTTCCCCCCCAGGATAGGAGTATGAAGCTCTCATGTCTAGTAGCAATCTAAATTTAGGCTTATTTGTTTGGAGTCAGTCCCCTAATTTGAGAATCAGTGGCAATGGAGAAGTGCAATTTCAAAATAATTTCACCAATTCACTGTAGAACCTAAAGTTATAATGCAACTGCCCAGAAGGTTTTGGCTAAGGCTGGCTGAAATGAAGTACTGAATGAAGTGCTGTTCAGGTGGGAGAAGCATGCCTCATATCACATTATGTGCTCTCAAACTTAACTGTCGCTTTGAAACCTGAACCTGAGTAGGCATCCTTCAGTCTCAAGAGACTATGGTAACGTTCTCTGAATAGAGGTCTTGGAATAGCGTCTACTGTGGCTGAGAAGGCCAATTCAAGAGTGACAATCCTTTCCACATTGACGACAAATATAGACTCCTTAAAGGGAATGGTTGGTGGCAGCTTAGTGTAACTGTGTGACATATCCCAGTAGGTCTGGGTTTGTCACAATCTGTACCCTGTCCAGCTCCGTGATTGTGTTGGTTTCGGGACTGTCTCTTTGCCTCAGCCTGCTGAACAAGGGTGTCTTCATATTGGGAGAGGCCATGATGCACCACATGCCTCCAAGTTGAACGCTCAGATGTCAAGGTTTCCCATCTGCTGAGGTCCATTCCTAAGGCTTTCAGATCCCTTTTGCCGATCTCCTTGTATCTCAGCTGTGGTCTCCCTCTGGGGTACTTTTCCTGCACTAATTCTCCATACAGGAGATCTTTTGGAATCCGACCACCAGCCATTCTCACGACAGCCTAATCCAGCCCACATAAAAACAGGCCCTGAGTAATAAGCAGAGAGGCAGATATACAATTCAGAACATCAGCATAATAAATGATTAAATGAATCACTGTTAAAGTAAATGTATGTAGCAGATACCAGGCTAATATTTGATTACTGAGATACAGAAATTGTAACTTGACATTAAATTCTTTGGGTCGGAAGAATAGAAAGAGATACTTGTTGAAAGCATGCAAAAAAAGTGGCTTCAGACAGACGTGTGCTCTTTGTGATAAATTATAATTCTCAGCAATAGGACCATAGATTTTTCTGTTTAGTGCCCATGTCAGAATACTGTCTAAGCATCATTACATACTGCTAATGAGTTTAGATGTTTGAATTGTACAAGAAAGGAAGTGTGCTTATGCACCCATTATTCAAAGTGCTATTCCCACAGGGCACAACCTAAATGCATCAGCCAGGGCAAAAGAGAACAATTACGTGGTTTCCAGCACACTTCTAAAGGTGATAAATAGCTTTATTTTTCATTTACTTTTAGAAATGATGCTGAGGAAAGCCACAGAAACATTGGAATGTGATACATTGTTCTGACTCTGCAACTATTAGCTATATGACTGTGACAGACTTTCGCGCTAGTGTAGTTTCAGTGCCATTTTGAAAACGACCAGTAATTTTGACGCAACCGTGCATAATGTAAAGAAATACAGTCTTCATGAACTAGAAAAAGGTACTCCAAGGAAAGCCATCTGCACTAGGAGGAAGCGATTTGCTAAGTTGATAGTAATTCTAGACCATGCACAAATCTACCTTGGATTACACTCAGACTTAAATGATGTATTGCAAATATCTCATCACTGCAGCTGTAATCACGTTAGTGTTCCAGAGTGTGATTCCAGCAGAATTTTGTCTGAAACACTCTCCAAAATCAATCACAAAGCAAGCTAATTTGCAAACTATGGGACATGATAAAACCTCCTGTTGTGGCAATCATATACTTTCATCTGTTAATTCTCTTTTCTAATGATGGGTTACCCATAACATCTGATTTAGCTCTCAGTGAACATAAACCTTGTAGACTCAAATTTACATTCACAGGAGCACATTTATCGGATTGTTTCTCCCGCTGCTTAGCATTTAAAATCAAAAATTTTGGAGAAATTTCCTGTTAAAAATGTCTTGAGGTGCTAACAAGCCATTACTTACAAATTTCATTTTTTCAATTGCAGTAGTATCCCTGTATCCACTGGATCAATATCTGTGGTTTCACTTATCCATGGTTTGCCGTAGCCCTATATTCAACATACAAGAACGTCTCCTTGTGAATTTTGTCCTATCCTCTTGTGGCCTTTGTCCCACCCTGTTGTATACAGGGTTCCCTCTGTGGTTTCAGGCATTCACAGCAGATCATGGAACCAATTCCCTGCAGATACGTGTCCTACTATACTGTAGTTTATTGACTATTGTATGTAGAACACAAACTGGACCCTCTGCTGTACCTGTATGGGGTGAGCATTTGTAGCAATCCAGCTTCAATACTACCATTAGTGAAGCATTTAGCAAACAAATTCAAGAAACAGCCTGCTTGATTCCATTGCTTCTTAGTCCCCTTATGAAATATAATTTGCATTTGACAAATAAAAAACAGAGGAATGGACTAAGGCATGCTTTACACCATCAAGATTCTACAGAAGGCTGTAACAGCAACCATGACGGGTGATCAAAATCTAAAAGAGAAGCAGAAGAAAAATTCTTAATGTCAGACAACAGGTTATAAAAGGCATACATAAAATAAAATAAAATGGTGGTGATTTGTGATGTTTGTGATGCTACTGGACATTTTTAATAGCTCACAACACATAGAAGAAATATAACCATTTGAGGATGCCAAATAAAGTTACTTATGTCTCCACAACAGAATGTTTTTGTTTCTATTGTTTGTTTGTTTGTTTGTTTGTTTGTTTGTTTGTTTTTCTTTCTTTCTTTCTTTCTTTCTTTATTT